TTATCATTATCGTGGATCGTATAAATAAGGAAAACTGTAATTCTATATAATATTGATTCAATTACGGTTGCTTTCGCTTCATTCGGTTGCGGTTGGGGACCCCGTCGTCGACCGTCGGCGTGGCTGTCTTGAAGCAGTCGAGAGACCATTCGGCGGGGGTTTGGGACTTATTTTTGCAAGGATTCCACGGCATGGTTGATGGAGGATGGGGCGAAAATCTTCCCTTAGCACCGTCCGTGTCGTGGTGGTGTAATTGTGGAGCGTGAAAATTTCTGTAGCTTCTGGACTTGTTTGGTGCTTGATCCGAGGTAGTAATTTTCCAGTTCTTTTGAATACCCACTTGATTTGGCGGGTTACCGCAATGCATTTGGTGGGAAAGTTTATTGAAACATAAAAAAAGTGGACGCAATTATGCCTTGTGGCGCATACTTGTGGTGTTGCGTTTTGTGACAACATTACAATCATTCCTGTGCTGTATTCGGTTCGAAACGGATTTCCCATACAAAAAAAAATGTTGTTTGGGGAGTCCGTTGCGAACGGATACAGAACAGGAGAGAATACCTTAACTCAACCGGGAAATGCTAGATTTTATTACAGATTTTTATAAAAAAAAGCATACAGACTTTGTAATGTTACACCGCATGAACAAATTCTGCAATGTGGTCGTCGGAAGGTTTTTTACATACTTTTGTAATTTTTATGTACAGTGCTGTTCGATATAATAGCAGCACATGCCGATTTTCATACAAAAATGACAACTTTGACGTGTTGTAACTTTGCTCTCTTAAGATCAATTGAGCTGAAACGTTCGCCGCAGAACTACAAATATGTTCAATTTCACGATTACAAAATACCACATTTTTGGAAGCACCTCCGGAAAGTGAGACACTAGGAAAAATTGTTCGAAATAATAGCAGTTTTACCTTTGTTACTACCGTAACATAGGTATTAGAATCGGATTTCACACGTCTTGCCGTTTGTGAACGATAACCATCCACACAAGCTATCTCACCTGTATATAACATTCCCATTCGATAGAACTCTGCTCGATCTGGCTCGACAGTTTGATTACGACATCGTAGAATGAAATTGAATATAAAAAATCTCCCCGGCAAGTTGAAATTTGCTGATGTCTGTATGTGCGTCTGTGGACGCGTTTCATCTAGGCAAGCTTTTTTCGAGAAGGCTTATCCGATAAATACGGTTGATACCTGCGTGTCGTATAATCCCGTTTTTTTTATGTCATGTTTACAATGTATCCCAAGAAGACCAATTGGATTTGGTCCCTTTAAATTTGTGCACGGCCGATGAGATCAAGCCCTATAATTTGGGTTTATTCTTAATCACAAAAAGTGCAGGAACTCAGCGTTGAGTAAAGTATCCCCCCCCCCATAGGCGCCGGTGGTGTAGTGGTAGGTGTGATTGCCTCTCACCCTAAAAGGCCTGGGTTCAATCCCAGTCGGCGCCGCCGGGATTTTCTGAGGCACAACATTTCTGATCACGTCTTCCTTCGGAAGGGAAGTAAACCCGTTGGTCCCCGGTTCATGAGTTGATGGGTCGATAGGTAGGGTACAGGTAAGGGAACTGCCTTCCTGGCGTCGGTATCATTGGTACTCAGTACGGAAAACAAGATCGACGAAATTTTACCTAGTCTAGTAGTAGTGCCAATAGACCGAGAAAATCCAATCGTTACTATTATCATATTCTGGCATTTTTTCTTTGAAAAAGCGTGAAAAAGCTGGAAAAACATGAAGCAAATTTTTCTGAATTCTTGCACTTCTTGCGATTTATGAGTCAAGTAGAATCACATTTGGGTTGATCTCGTTAGCCGTGTACCGCGAGTTTTTCCATCTTTCTGCACACGTTATTTCTAAACAATGACAATTTCAGTAAGATCTACTAATTTCCATTAGAAGTAGGGCTACCCGATATTGAGGAAACAAGATTGTAACTGACAACACAACAAATTAACATTCGTATTCAGGTTGATGTTGTTTACTCGTCATATTGTCAGTCACAACTTCGTTTACTTAATTTTGGCGGATATGAGTAGATCATACTCATATTTGGGTTGTTTCTAAATAGCGTAAATCCTGCGCTATTTTGCCCATACATCTAAACATCTATACATCTAAAGCGGACGTTACACATGTCAATAGAATGAATTTTTCTATTTTAAAAATCTTGAAATGCTACAATCTTGATAGCGGCGCCGGTGGTGCAGTGGTAAGCGTGATTGCCTCTCACTTCAAAAGGCCTGGGTTCAATCCCAGTCGGTGCTGCTGGGATTTTCTGAGGCATAACATTTCTGATCACGCCTTCCGTCGGAAGGAAAGTCAAGCCGTTAGTCCCCGGTTCATGAGATGATGGGTCGATACGTAGGGTCCAGATGTCCAGTACGGAAAACAAGATCGACGCAAAACAAATCAAAGAAAAAAAATCTTGATGTGTTTTGTATCTTTCAAACAGTCTGAAAATACAAAACATTAAGTACCAGTTATGAGAGACAAATCTGTTACCGGCTGAAATTTTCCTTAATGAAGTAACTATCAGAATTCCCTAGAAATTGTTTTTTTTTTTATGCCCGAGATTACGAAAACCTTTATCTGGACATTGGACATAATACAGAACTTTTACTGGAAGTTTAGTCGAATTGCATGCAATAATCTTTATTTCTGTAATTACGCTTTTCAAATATCAAAATATCCAGTTGACTCTTCGACTCACAAACTGTAATCAACCACTTTTTGGGTTTTCTAAAATGGTTTTTTTATTGATTTGACAAAAAATATGTTTAATTAACCTTCGTATCTGTAACCATGTGCCATGGTTAATTAAACAAATAGAAAGTGAAACTAATATCCCTTCCAACGAGAAATCAGAACATCTGAACATCAGAAGTACATTCTAAAGGTTCCAAGTTTATTCAAAGCTAAAATAATAATATTTGTTTAGTGAAAAATACGATTTGGGTCTCGGATTGAATTCATGTTGTTTGAAAGAAAAAAATAAGATTATTTATCGTAATTAATAAACATAAAAAAAAAATATTGCAAAATACATTCACTTTATTTGAAAAATCTGTAATCTGTATATACAGATATCTGTATCAAACTATTGAAAAAAATATGTATGAATACAGATAAATCTGTATATGTGGCATCACTACAACGAGCTCATATTTTCAAAAAAATCTTCAATTGGGTTACACTGAGGCAAGTTTGTTGAATTGCGGTTTTTGGTACATATGGGATATTTTGATTTCCAAGAAGGTTAGTGTTTGCTTAGCATAATACAATGATTCTTTATGCAGTTAAAGCACGTAGTTTCCAACTGCGTGATATTTTTGAAGAAATGGAGTGTTTGAAGACTGATTTTGGTACACTTCTTGGTTGATCGCCAAACCGCTAGGCTTGAACCATGGCTTAAAAATTCCTCCCTCCGATATGGCGATATACAGCATCACTTTCTGTTCAAACTTGTGTTTGAACTTGAATCTTACATTTGGAGATGTTGTAAAACTATTATCTGAATAATATCGATCATTTCCAGGAATGTGAGTTTTTGAGAGAGGAAAGTAACTTTCATCATCCAAAATTTTCCTGAGTAATTTCTTGGGTTTTCAAGTTCGAAATTTGTTGATCGGTGTATTCTGGAGGTCTTGATTTCTTTTGACAAACTATTCCAATCCTTTTGGGGTAGAGGTGCGTGCACTTGAATTTTTTCGCGGCGTCCCGCTGACTTATCGAATCTTTGTTGTTGAACGTATTGTGTAGCGATCGAAATCCTTTTTTGTTCATTATTTTGGCTGGTTTTCCACTACCCCTCTTCCGAACTGTTGACAACAGTAGAAATTGGTACATTCTCTGATTTGAAATGATTCACCGTAAATTATTTCACACGATTCTCGTGTGTTTTGTCCAATGATAATACGGAAAATTGGGCTGATTGATTATTAAACTTTATTGGTTCGTCAAATATTGTTGCAATATAATAAGATTGTGCTTAAAGTATGTAGATAACAACAAAGCAGGTTAAGTATAAAGTCATAGAGCTCTAGTTGTAAGCTAAGAAGAAGAAAGTGATTTAAATACACTTCGCACTACGTAAATCTTATATCAGCTCCACATAGATAAGCCACAATTATATCTTAAAATTATTGTCATGTTAGGAAATAAACGTGAAGACATAAATTACTTGATTCTTGAATTATGATTTGAACTCCAATTCAAACAAGCAATTGCTGTTTAATTGAGCAGTGCAGAAACTGAGCCCAATAAAAATAAAAATATCCATTAAGGCCTCATATCTCTGGATAATATCAAAAACGAGATTATACTGTGGGTTTTGATTTGAAAATTGATTTACTGCAAATATTAAAACATTTTTAACTATAATATTTGTTAATTTATTATTTAATATTTGTTTGAATTTTGAGAAATGTAAAATTTAAAATCTCAAAATTGAGCTGAAATGCTAATTATTAAACCGGCTAGTATTTCGAACAATTTTACCTGGTATCTCACTTTACGGCAGGTGCTTCCAAAAATTTGGTATTGTGTAATCGTAAAATTGAATATATTTGTAGTTCTGTGACTAAGGTTGCAGCTCAATTGACCTTTAAACAACAAAGTTACATCATGTCAAAGTTGACCAATTCGTTTTAAAATCGGCATGCCCTGCTATTATTTATATCGAACAGCACTGTAAGTTTGTTTTCCCAAATTCAGTGGTGCTAGGTTGTGTACGAAAATATTAGTTCTAGAAAAAACCTTGCTTATTCACTGCAGTCCATTGCAAGAACTTATATTACATTTGTTGTAAGAAAACAAGCAGAGGATCTAAGAAATCCACCCTTACATTTGATGTTCATGCCATTCTTTTTATGCGTTTTTGGACATGTTACGTAAGTGTCATCATTCATGAAATGGTTTTAACTTTGATAAGGAAGCATACGAGCTTTTGAACAACACCAACTAAACCGACCAAAATGTACTCACCTTGCTGGTTTGTGGTACTCGCACAGGTAATCGAACCTAGCATCGGGCACCGGAACTCTGAAAGTAAAGACAAAGAAAACGGAAAATAATGTTTAAAAACTTGAAATATTTTTTTCCAGCTACAATTCAAATTATGTATCATTAAGTTGGCACCAGCAGCAACGAAACTGGTTCCACATGGCAGGCGCGGGATCGTCGAACGGAACGCGCAGAGGAAACTAACCGATCGATCCGAAACCGCCAAGGGCCATTTATCGCTCCCGGGTTGACCGCCGTTTACAAGTCCCTTTCCTTTCAGCAGGAGACCATTACTTTCATTAAACTTTTGAATTGCGGATCGGAAAATGTCTTTCATAATTGGAGTTTAATTTTTGCTAAAAGTGCATCCTCGCACATTCACCCGAAACGACGGCTCATTGCGAATTCCGATGGGTAGTAATTTGCGTATTCCAGTAGCACGCAGGCAAACATGTATGGTATGCAGAAACCTGCCGGGTGGTGACAATTGGTTTTGGAGAGCCGTCTCGCTCCATATGCTTGTAGAGCTGGAGGTAGGAACGGTTGCTCTTCCTCGAGACATCATTAATGTCGGCCATTCGCAAGGGAAAAAAATGGGGCCTTATTTTGTTTTAAGGACCATTCGCTAATGGCCGCGGCGGTCGATGCCAGTATCAGTAGCTAGATGGGGGATAGTGTTCAGTGTGTTTTCTGCACCGTCTTGCATTTTATTATCTCTTGACACGTCACGGTCGCCATTGGTCACTGCGGGCATTATTTTGATGAAATGTCGAAAGAGAACGGGTAGTAGTGAATTTGGTCTTTGGAAAATATGGTTAATCAGCATGTAGATAGAAATTATTTATTTATTTCGATGTAGTGTTGGATTTTTTCCTGAGGATCGTGAAGAGCTGATGGGGGTTAAATACCCATGTTAAGGTGATTCCTTGTAGAGTCCACAAATGGCCGCCACGTAGGCTAAAGATGAACTTCCTCTTTGTATTTTCAATTACACAAATCTCGGAAATTAATGCCCCTGAAATTGAAATTGCTGCTTCATGTATGCTGCAGTACAGCAAACGTGGAGTAACAGTTTCATTGTGGTACGTCTCGTGGAAGCTGAAATGTGTGCACTTAAAGTTTCGAAGTGGTTACGAGAATAAGGATCTCACAGCGAAACACCTTAAGCAAAATCCAAATTTAGGATTAGGCTATTGGCAAGGTAAATACGACCCCGTTACGTGGGTAGATCACTTTTTCGTGGTACGTTACGGGATGTGAGATCTACCACTGATTTCTAGCCCTGAATACTTCAAACTAGGGGAACACAAGGACCTGACACTCCGCCATCTTTTCGTAGTCAGCATAAAAACGTGGACACATATAAATCTAAGCGGGTCCAGATCGTGTGTCAGCGGATGTTCGCTATGGTTACTTGTGAGATAGGCGTGGCTCCTCGTTGGGGTAACAGGATTTTTCAGTAATTAAAGGAACACATCTTAGTCCTGGTTGCTGACATCAAATGTTTCCACTATGGGATTTCACAAATTTGACAGTACCCTCTTGCGGCTGTATCGCATATTTTATAACTGTCGCTTACACCGCATGTGTTTGTTTTGCGTTGGGTGTGTGTGAATGAAAAATAGCATAGTGAACTTTGATGAATTTCAGTGATTTTTTCAGCCCTGGTTTAAACTGCACCACCTAGCGAATACATTCAGCTGACGTTGAAGAAAGTGACTTCGATGACCAGATGAACGTCGTTGAAGTACATTATAAAAATCAACGGTCCCATGTGGCTTCCCTGAAGTATACCTGATGTGGCGAAGAAGCTAGCTGATCTGCAATCTCCTATGGCAACCTTTAATTGACGACCGGTAAGATATGATAGAAACCAACTTAGAAGATTACCGCATACACCGAGCCTGCCGAGTTTAGCAATCGCAACTTGTCGAATGCTGCGGATAGGTCTGAATAAATAACGTCCGTTTGAACCCGATCCGACATGCTTTCGGTTATACCCGAAGTGAGACACAGAAGATTGGTGGTTGTAGAGCGACCGACAGTAAACCCATGTTGATCAGCACTTAAATACTGCTTGCAATGGGACAGCAACGGTTCCATAATCACTAGCTCGAATAGCTTCGAAACGGCACTTAACAATGTAATTCCTCGATAGTTATCCACAGCTCGTTTCCTTCCTTTTTTGTGGACGGGAAATATGTGGAGAGAGACATGCGGAACAGGCGATGAAGCGGAAATAACAGGCTAGCAATATGTCTCTTCAAAAATATAGATGGAACTCCATCAGGGCCAGTATTGAAGGATAGCTTGAGTAGAGTCGCGGCCTTGGAAATCATCTCAGCATTAACATCAATTGCAAATAATTAACATCAATTTGAAAATAATCGATTCACCGATTTAATCAATCATTTTAAATCGATCTTTTGAATCAATTCATTTTTCAAAATGGCACAAAAAATGTTTCAAATATAATGGGTCATAGGAACACTTTGGTGCAAATTAAGCCAAGTTCAGTCTAGAGTTGATATTACGTTACATAAGCTATATTGTTATGGAATTTCACCTATAATAGTCATTTAGTGTGATGATTGATATCCTTTAGAAATAAATTGTGTAGTACGTACATCACTGCTGTTCATTAAATTAGGTGTAGGTAAAATAAATACGAAAATTTAGGTTATGCTCATTCAACTTCATTTTATTCGACTTTAAAGTTTACCTTTGGTAGTGTAATAAAAATTAAGTAATTGCACGAGAAAACTCAAAGTTAAAACATTAATGACTCACTCATTCAAATCAAATATAAAATATGCCTGGTCAGTGAAATAGATGTGTTGCATAAAACTATAGTATAGAAAGCTTGAAAATAATCGTATCAGTTTTATTAGACTAATGACGCTTAGTAACCGCTGTGCCCTCCATTGTTAAGTAGAACCAAGTTCAATCTTCTTGGCATTGACTCAACCAAGCACTGACAAGCTTCATTTGGTACAGCATACCACTCTTTTTGAACTGTGGTCCATAGTTGATCCTTATTTGAAAGACCTTGGCCAGATAAGTTTCTTTTAAGCTATTTCCATAAATTTTCGATGGAGTTGATGTCAGGAGATTGGCTAGGCCATGAAATAACCGACACTTTGTTTGTTCGAAACCATTCCTTTACATACTTAGAATTGGGTTTCGGATCGTTGTCTTGCAGAAAATCACAGGAGTGGAACTTCGATTCAGAAAGTGGCTCCACTTGTCATTTGCGAACACTAGCGCACCTAGCGGTAGAAGGCATCTCTGCCTGCAGTTAAGATAGGCAGCATGCTATGATAGTGTGAGTGCACATAGAAAGCCCGTGTGGAACGCTACCACCTCGACTACCACACACATCGCTTGTTGAGCAGAAAAACGAACCACTTTTTGATTCACCGATTTGTTTGCACTTCCCCTTCTTGTCTGTGCTCCAACCCGCCACGGACAGCTACAAGGACACCTCAACCAGTAGATTAACGGCTGTTGCTAGGATTCCGATCGCAACGAAAGACCTCGTAGTCACGACCGAAGACTTGACTGGAAAGCGTTCAATAATCGAGCCACGTTTCGCACAGGACAATTACATCGTATCAACAATCCGATACAGCTAGGCGGTACTCTTTAACAACAGAATTCATTCCACCGGCGTTTTGGTAGAAGATCACGACGTCCTGCTTGTGGCAAGGAATCAAACGACAGCTCTCCCTGGAAATCACAGATACATCAGGCAATAACTGACCATCATCAAGCCTGATTGAATACTCGCCATAGTGAGTGGGTTGGAAGACCCCCTCTCCACATCCGACAGCAGATCCGGAACGACTATGATGAACGAAGGCTGCTGATGGCATGACTGAGACGAAGGGATTGGTGGCTTCCATGGGGCTTTCTATGGCGTGTTCCTGGTTCCCAGGATTGGGAGTTACAGAGGCATAATCACAATGACTAACATAGTTTGAATTGTTGAAAATTTGATCGGCATCAGGCAGTGAATAGTCCATATATTGATTGTACTCCTGATTCATATCCAGCCACAGGTCCAGGACGACTGTGCTGAGCGCTGGCAGGAATCGGCACGACTGGGCTCGAGGAACCAGGCGCTTCCAAAGAGCGGTATATTGTGCATCCCGGAGATGAATTAGGATTGTTCGAACAGTAAGGCGGATGTTGTGAATGAGCAGTATCAGATGTGCTTCTCAACTGGAAACAGCCGGCAGATGCTTGAGGCGTTGCACTGGTACACGGAAGCTGATCAGGAAAATTACTGTAACTAATCTATGCATACTTGGGTTGACGAAACTGGTGTTACCAATAAAAATAACTATTTTGAAACCCTGGAGCGCGCCTGGGAAGAGCTAGATCCATAGCACCTAAAGAACCTAGTAGAAAGCATGCCGAAGTGCCCGCATCAGGTCCTGAAGGCCAAAGGAGGACACATTAACTATTAAAATGCTTTTCTTTTACTTTAATTTATCTTTTCTGGAGCCAAAATGAAGTCGGCACTGTTTTTTGTCACTTTTTTTTCCATACAAATTGATTTTGTTTTCTTTGAGTAAAACTATTTTTTTAGTATTCCATGAGTCATACTTTAAAAAAATATAAAAAATAACATATCAAAAAAGATTACACCTTCCGTTCGAAAACACCAAGGGCGCGTTGGTTCTCCACGAGCATACTCCAGGTCTCGTGGCCGTAGAGGACCACCGGTCTAATCAGCGTCTTGTAGACAGTCAACTTCATGCAGCGGCGAATTTTATTCGACCGGAGCGTCCTCCAGAGCCCAAAGTAGGCACGAGTCCCTGCCATAATGCGTCTTTGAATTTCACTGCTGGTATCATTTTCGGCGGTCACCAGTGAGCCTCATCGACCACCTCGATTTCGTCACCGTCAATCTGAACTTGGGGTGGGAGGCTAGCATTATCTTCCCTAGAACCTCTTCCTTTCATGTATTTTGTATTTGATGCGTTGATGGCAAGTCCAATCCGCCTAGCCTTCAGTCTGATGTACGTTTCCGTCATCGTCTCCAAGTTCCGTGCCATGATGTCGATGTCATCGGCGAAACCAAGAAGCTGGATGGTCTTCCTGAAGATCGTGCCACTCGTGTCTATCTTTGCTCTTCTGATCACACCTTCTAACGCGATGTTGAATAGCAGACACTGGCCGTAACCCCCTTCGAGATTCAAAGGGACTCGAGAGTGACCCCGATACTCGTACAACGCACATCACTCGATTCATCTTCGCCTTGACCAATCGCGTCAGTTTACCGGAAATCCGTACTCGTACATAATCTGCTATAGCTGATCTTGATCGATTGTGTCGTATGCGGATTTGAAATCGATGAACAAATGATGTGTGGGCACGTTGTATTCGCGGCATTTCTACAGAACCTGCCGAATCGCGAAAATTTGATCCGTGGTAGCGCGGGTACCCATGAATCCCGCCTGGTGTTGCCCCACGAACTCTCTTGCAAATGGTGACAGGTGGCGGCATAGAATTTGGGAGAGTACCTTGTAGGTGGCGCTCAGCAGTGTGATCGCGCGGTAGTTGTAGCAATCCAACTTGTCGTCCTTTTTGTAGATTGGGCACTCGACACCTTCCATCCACTCCTCCGGTAATATCTCCTCCTCCCAAATCTTGGCAATTACCCAGTGCAGCGTTCTAGCCAGTGCTTCACCACCGTATTTGAATAGCTCACTTGGTAGTTGATCTACACCAGTTGCTTTGTCGTTCTTCAGCCGACCGATCTCCTCCTCAACTTCTTGAAGATCAGGGGCCGGTAGCCTGTCGTCTTCTGCGCGTGCGCCAAGGTCTGTTGCCGTGCCACCTTCGTTTTCTGCTGCATCACCGTTGAGGTACTCGTCATAGTACTGCTTCCACCTCTCAATCATCTCACACTCGTTCGTGAGAAGGTTACCGTCCAAGTCCGTGCACTATATGCACAGGTACTATATCACGCGGTACGTAAAATCATGCATGTTCAATCGAGGGGAATATTATAATACAAATAAAACATAAATCTGAGGACAGTAGCCACCATCCAGGATCTGATCCAGGTGCTCCGGAAGTCATTATGAACTAACGGTCCTATATTGCATAGACTGCGACCGTCCGGGATCTAATCGAGGTTCTCCGGAAATCATTCCAGACCAATAAACCAGGCTAAAATATTTCATAGAGGGCTACAAATTAAATCACCATAGCAAATCCACGTGAATATTACAATGCCAATCGAACAGGAAATTATGGACACTGCGGGATCTGATCCAGGTTCTTTGGAAGTAATTTTTGAACTATTGGTCCTGGCTAATATATTCCATAGAGCGCAACATATCAAATCAACATAACAAACCCAAGTTACATAATGATCTCAAAAACTGTTACGGGAATCCGCAAACACGATTCTAAGTCCTCGTCTCACAAAGATGAACGAGAAGAGAACAATCCGCGGGCTTGATGCGAAGCCTGTTTCTAAACTCGTTGCGGGCTGTACGTTGGGCAGGCCTGGTTTGCTGCCCATTATAATCGCATATCAGTCCCATCTTTGGTTGATTTCTTATCCATATGTGACTGTTATGCGATCATGAATAGTGTACTGATAATGAAGTTTTAATTTGTGAGTTCTAGGATTTAAAAGTTTAACAACACACCAAAATCTAATATTTTAGAGACGATTTTTCCTAATAAAAATTAAGAATATTTCAAAGCTCTCGGAAGAATTGCTCATGTTTAATGAGCATTTCTTTCAAGAACTTTGGAATGTTTCTAATTTTTAGTATTTGGATGTTGATGCGAATTTTTTAAACATTCAAACAAATCAGAATTGCTATGAGTTTTCTACAATTCAGTCTATTTTCAAACGATTCGGGCTAGTAGTGGCATTCGGGAAAGTGTCATTCGCGATAGTGACATTCGGGCAAATGATATAGAATCCCACGATTAGTGTTGTTTTTTTCTCTTATCATTCATCCTGGGAAAGGCCCATGCATTTCATAGCATCCCTTCCACAGGATGAATGATAACAGGTTCCTTCACAAACGCGAAGCTCGATTTTCGTGTGCATCGAGAAGTATACTAATTGTAGGACCGCACTTAATTAGGGCCTTTCTCTGATGTTGGAATTGGAATGAGGATATTTTCCATTGAAGCACCCGTTCAATCGAAGCCTGAACCCCATCAACTCGGGGCCTTTAATTAAATGTCCTGTAATTGTCGGCGGAAGGAGAGCGAAACGTAAAAACGTTCGAATTTTCGCCTTTGATATGCAAATGGGACACACCGAAATTTTAAATTATTTCCTATGGGTAGTTGAAGTGTAATTAAGCAAGCCAATCAATTGGCCATCGCTGGAGACGTACCTGTTCTCGTTGGGGTCGATCGTGCAGAAGGGGAAGTTTTCCGCTGGTGCTGCACTCTTGGTCAACACGTTGAAGAAGGTCGACTTGCCAACGTTCGGCACACCGACGATACCGATGCGCAGATTGGTACCGATACGGCCAATCATGGGTTTCACTTCCGGTTCCTGGTTCTTCTTGGGTGGCATGTTTGCTGCAAAGATGAAATGAAACGGAGTTTGGATGATTGTTGGTCTCTAATAGTTGCAAGAATTGTGTAAATCAAATCTATGGATATGCAAGACACCGGCATAAGAAGCATTTCACTGGAAATTAAACTATGTTGCGTCTAAAAATGCCGGAAAGGTCAATGTCACATTGGTGCCGGCATCTATTGATACCATAAATGGAATTCATAAGCCGGGTCCGGAACAATCCGGATGGACGCAAGCACATCTAACCTTACAATGAACGAAAACAAAACACCATCAATTTGTCCTAAGTTTCCGCTAAATTTATCAGAAACCCAAATTGTATCTTCATTCCGTTCTTTTGCTCACTTCAACTGGTGATAATTACCTGTCTAAAATGCTAGTTTTCACCACAAAATCACTAATAAAGCGAAACTTTTACGCAGTCGGTATATTCGCGATACCTTTCGTCGTCGGAAAGGAAACAAACGTGGATCGCTCTATTTTGAGTTTTTGACGTTTCTCCTGTGTTTCGTCGTTTCTGGCGGTGTTCATTTTACCATCTGATGAGGAACTCACATGTGAGCGGCTGCTTGCATGGGAAATGAATTAATGATACTTGGGGGGTGCGTGGATTTGAAATTATGCTGCAACGGATGCAATGCGATTAAATAGAAAATTTCATTTAATGATCAACTCGAGTTTGGGATTAAAGAAAAAAAAAACGATTCTCAATATTTAAATCAGTTTGCTATTGCCGATCTAACGATAGCGCTCGTGGCGAATAGGAGAAATAGAAAATTGATGATGGTCTTAAAATTTTGCACGTTGAGGTATAGAAAAGGAATCTTGAAAAGCATTTATTATCCGAAAAAAAAAAAATAATATTTGTTATTTTTTTAAAAGCTGCTACGGAAGAAGAAACCTCAAAAGGTATCCGATAGAGGTATAATTTTAAAATTTTATGTTTTTTCTTAATTTTCGTTTAGCTCTTTAGATCTGAACTTTTCTAACCTTGTATGCACAACCAAATTTATAGCAAATACTTTATTCGTTAAATAAAAGCGTTTTTAAAATATTCTCCCATACCTCGCCGTGCAAAATTATGATACCATCATCAGTTTTCTAGTTCTTCTATTTGCCACAAGTGGCGCTTTATGCTATCGTTAGATTGCCAATTGCTTCGAGTTTATTCTCAGATGCGACCAGATCCGATGCAGTCCAATGAATGCAATTATTAGGGATACCGCTGAAAAATGAGCTCAAGCTTACCCCTGGTTTATTTTCGGTCTTTAAATAATTTTCTGAACATTAAAATATCCACTTTTACACATTTTCCCAATACTTCTCCAATGGTCTCACCAATCCGAATAACCCAGAGAGAAAGTCACTTCTGCTCTGTTGTATGAGAAATTTTTAAAAACTGCTGGAACATAGCGCTGAGTACCTGCAGTTTTTAGAAATTTCTCATACAACTGAGCCGAAGTGACTTTCCTTCTGGGTTATTCTGAATGGCCGTATATTGACTGTGAACAGATAAAACGTGTTAAATAAATACCTTTAAACCTTTAATCTACGGAAGCATGGGACAAAATTAGTGCTAAAACACGTATATATCGCAGCGTGCAAAAGCGGAATCGATTCTATGGACCTTTTCCATTAAGAAATCATATATTTCATAGATAACATATTTGGTATTTCAGCGGTAGCCAATTTTTAATCCTTGATAATACCGAAGACAACATATCAAGAAGACTGGCAACTATTCCATTTTCTCAAACGACCGGCATGAGACTGACACAATCGTGTCATCTGCCGCTCAAAGGTAAATGCTCCGAACGAATTGGATAGCAAAGGTTCCATCCACAGAAGAAAGGTTTGTGCATTTGCTCATTTTTCTATGTGTTGCTTCCACCTTCGCTCGAGCACAGCGCTACTGTGTCTGTCGCTCGAATTCAGCCAAAGTTGCCAGTCTTCTTGATATGCTGTCTTCGATAATACCCTGCTTTTACCGACTAGGCTATCTGAGGCTCCTAAAAAATTGTACCTATTGAAATAAAAAAAAAACTTGGATCATTATTCATCATAAGAAAGTTTGTCCAAAAGAAGAATGGTTTGTACTAAGAACGACACTTTGTTGCAAAAATATCGATTTGTAATCACGGTTTGGCAAAGTTACCAAACAAACGGAAAACCATTCTCAAATCTCATTCATAGCGGTAAGCTCCATCGAGGATATCCAACAAACAATTCAGAGTCACCAATAAGCATATATATTGAATAAATGCTGTGCAACAGTGTACAATGCTGAATAAAACGAGCTGTCGAATTATGTGGTGAAAAAGCTCATTGAGATCGATAGATGTATATTTATTCCTCTGTTTGCTCTGATCTGATTAATTTACTTATTAAAAGCTGTAAAAGAGTTAAATGTCATACCGATTCAACGCCAGAAGTTTGATCTAATAACATACTAAATAAGTGTTATTTGTACATACAGTGACACTTTAATTCGACTGTTTTCAATTGATTTAATAACATGCTTTATTAAACGTCTAATAAATGTTCTCTAGCTCCATTATTAGATTTCATTGCATTGCTTTACAATATCGCTGAATAAAAGTGAATACAGTCAGCATAATAGCTCTTATACCACTATGCGTCCATGTTGTAATCACATGATTTGTAAATGCTTTATAAACGACGAATTAGATTCATTATTCGATAACACTGGTTCAGTCGAAATCAGTAGAGTAGTGGTTACCGTTTTTGCTTTCCAAGAAAATGGTGTCAAGGTCCAGCATAAAACCATGCAACCCTCGTGCAAGAGAGGTTGTGTCACCGTCCCATTCAGTTTCACCCAAATACATCTCTCCCAGATAAGTTGTGATTTCAGAATTATACGCCTCCACTATAAATCTCGATGAACATTTCAAATGGTCCTATCTTGATAGATTTTCTCCATCGACTTTCTCTTTTGATAACCACTGCTATGCAAACAGATTTTGCGTTATTTTTACCACATAGGAAATGGATCTAATGTCAGCCTAAATGCCCCTAATTTGGGCCCATACATAAATTCAGCAATCGACTAAATTTTCAATAGCGACCAAAAATATCCATCAGTGCCGTCCCAATGACGGGTTCATCTAGATAAAATTGATAAATAGCATTTTCCCTATGCCCAATGGAAAATTTTTGAGATGAATCCTGTGACACATGGCCATATTGACATAAGTTCCTGGGATCATGAAATCCAGTTCTGTCGACCCTAGTCAGGCAAATTAAACATACTGCATGTAAAATCATAGGATAGTTCTGGATTATGATTAGGAATGATATATTCGAAGGTATCACCTTACCTTACCAATCAGGCTAAGGCTTTGCTGATCTCTGCTGTCCGAAGAAGTCGTCTCCATTCTACTCGATCCATGGCCACAGTTCGCCAACCTCGTAGTCTGCGAAGGGTCCGCAGGTCACCTGCTACTTGGTCGATCCACCTTGCCCGCTGCGCGCCTCTTCTTCTTGTTCCTGTTGGGTCGCTTTCTAGAACCATTTTCACTGGGTCGTCGTGCGGCATTCTTACGACGTGCCCAGCCCACCGTAGTCGCCCAATTTTTGCAATGTGGACGATGGATGGTTCTCCCAGCAGCTGGTGCAATTCGTGGTTCATTCGCCTCCTCCACGTTCCGTCATCCATCTGCACTCCACCGTAGATGGTACGCAACACCTTCCGTTCGAAAACACCAAGGCGTTGGTCCTCCACGAGCATAGTCCAGGTCTCGTGGCTGTAGAGGACCACCGGTCTAATCAGCGTCTTGTAGACAGTCAACTTCGTGCGGCGGCGAATTTTATTTGACCGGAGCGTCCTCCGGAGTCCAAAGTAGGCAAGATTCCCTGCCATAATGCGTCTTTGAATTTCTCTGCTGGTATCAATTTTGGGCGGTCACCAGTGAGCCTAAATACACGAACTCATCGACCACCTCGATTTCGTCACCGTCAATCTGAACTCGGGGTGGGAGGCTAACATTGTCTTCCCTAGAACCTCTTCCTTTCATGTATTTTGTCTTCGATTCGTTAATGGCACGTCCAATCCGCCTAGCTTCAGCCTTCAGTCTGATGTACGTTTCCGCCATCATCTCAAAGTTCCATGCCATGATGTCAATGTCATCGGCGAAGCCAAGGAGCTGGATGGACTTCCTGAATATCATGCCACTCGTGTCTATCCCAGCTCTTCTGATCACACCTTCTAACGCGATGTTGAACAGCAGACACGAAAGTCCATCACTTTGCCGTAACCCCCTTCGAAATTCAAAGAGACTCGAGAGTGTCCCCGATACATCGTCGCCTTGACCAATCGCGCCAGTTTATCCGAAAATCCGTACTCGTGCATAATCTGCCATAGCTGATCTCGATCGATTGTGTCGTATGCGGATTTGAAATCGATGAACAAATGATGTGTGGGCACGTTGTATTCGCGGCATATCTGAAATTTGGTCCGTGGTAGCGCGGGCACCCATGAATCCCGCCTGGTATTGCCCCACGAACTCTCTTGCAAATGGTGACAGACGGCGGCATAGAATTTGGGAGAGTACCTTGTAGGCGGCGCTCAGCAGTGTGATCGCGCGGTAGTTGCAGCAATCCAACTTGTCGCCCTTTTTGTAGATTGGGCATACGACACCTTCCATCCACTCCTCCGGTAATATCTCCTCCTCCCAAATCTTGGCAATTACCCAGTGCAGCGCTCTAGCCAGTGCTTCACCACCGTATTTTAATAGCTCACTTGGCAGTTGATCTACACCAGTTGCTTTGTTGTTCTTCAGCCGACCGATCTCCTCCTCAACTTCTTGAAGATCAGGGGCCGGTAGCCTGTCGTCTTCTGCACGTGCTCCAAGGTCTGTTGCCGTGCCACGTTCGTTTTCTGCTGCTTCACCGTTGAGGTGCTCGTCATAGTACCAACAATCAATACGAAACTAACGATTTTAAATTGGCTCACCACTTTAGTAGCCTATTGGTCCCAAGCAAACGATTAACGTACCCTATTCTAGTTGAAATTCTATTCCTACACTATGTTTGTTTTGATTCGCTATGAAAGTTTGACAGATAACATCAGGGGTGTGTGGATTCATGCAGAACATGCAGGGGTGAGTGAAATAGCTTGGGACTGCTTGGGACCGTTGTTCTGGTACTGAGTGAGCCAAAAATAATAATGATTTTCTTCGGGACCCAGTGGTCTTAGAGTTACCTCTATGATAGTACTGCTTCCACCTCTCAATCACCTCACACTCGTTCGTGAGAAGGTTACCGTCCAAGTCCTTGCACATATCGGCTTGCGGCACGTAGTCTTTGCGCGAACTATTTAGCTTCTCATAGAACTTCCGTGTGTTGTTTACGCGGTACAGATTTTCCATCGTCTCGCGATCTCGGTCTTCCTGCTGACGCTTCTTCCCTCGGAAAACCGAGTTTTGTCTGTTCCGCGCTTCTCTGTATCGCTC